CAGCAGCCGATAATCCCAGAAAGATCAGCCAACAAAACAACCCCTTCCTGTCTCAACCTCGGTCTCAGAGCAAGCTGAGAAGAAGCACATCACGCAGACCCAGACAGCCCAACCACGAGACAGCAAATCAATCGCCCACACATACACCCCTTCTCTCAAACCTATCGCTCGACAAGCTCGGTAATGGACATCCCAAAAGGCAGCTGCACACTGAATCTGCCCAATGCGGCGCATCGCATACAGGGACACGACGCGCTGCCGTTGCCCTCTCGCAGCACGAGTCCAGCGGTACCCCACACCAGGCCGGGGTCTAGACACGTTACGGGGCCCGCGGCCTCCGGGTGGGTGCGGGCTCAGGCTCGCAGGCTTTGATCCGTGTTATGTTTCTTCGTGACGAACTACGATATGATACCGTCGCTCTTGCACGACGGCCTCTGTGTGTCGAAACTCCGGTCCCCCTCCAGCGGCCCACCGAACTTCCCATCGCTAGCCATGAAGGCATCGTCGCCCTCTCAAAGCAGCGGGATGTGTACGTTTCACATGCGCGAGAGGCGCAGATAGATGCTGATGAGAACGCGACGGCGCTCGCCCTCGGTCATTTTGGTGTAGCAGTGGGAGAAGGCAACGCCGAGGGAGGATGCCGCGCCATCGCGCCATCTTGCAACCGTGGTCATCCGGACTGTCGGGCATGGTCAGGTGGTCGGCCTCTGGGCTGGAGAAAGCCATATCGAGATCAACAAGGTCGGTATGCCTAACGAGAACGATGTGTGTTTCAGCCAAGGTGGGAGGGAGGTCTTTGGGCACCGAGCCGTCACACTTTGCGGACCGGACTTGATGGCTCAGGGCTACGTCGCCGGCACAGGCGTTGAGTTCGGGGCGGAAGGCGACGAACTGAAGCCAGAGTGGGTAATTTGCTGTGAGGACGTGGATAGACGGTCATATCAACGTTTCTCACCTCTATGTGGATGAGTTGCTCGATGAGGCTGGACCGCGAGTCGAAAGGCACGCACCTGGCTTGCCCATCAACCGCATATTTTCTGACGTGTCTGCCTGGTTCTCTGACTCTTTTTCTTCCCGGGCGGCAGGGTTCGGGAAGGAAGACAGGCTTTAAGAACAGCTTGACCCTCCTCTCGTATCCCCAGGCTGTACCGACTCCGCGAAAAACCAGCCTTTGACGCCTGAACCTCCTTCTTTGTGGGGCTTTGCATTCGTCGCATCAATATATCCCAATCCTCATTCGAAAAAAAAGGGGGGATGAAGCGGATCAGCGAAGAACGCGCGACGAAAGACGCCAGCCATGAAGAAGGCCCGTTGAGGCAGCCCCTGGTGCTTCCAGCTCGCCTTGCCGCGCACAGCATTCAGTATTGGGTCAACGCCTTCGGATTTCTGGTCATCTGGCGACGCGCGCCGGTCGTTTGGGAGAGGTAGGGGTCGATACTGCTTGTATTGAATTCTTTGTAGCTAAGACGATTCTGATTATTCGTCAAGTCCGAATGCGTCGACGAAACTGCCGGGTGTGCTCATTGGCCTCATGTTTAGGCTGAGACCGGTTTCTACTGGGCTAAGGATAAGATACGCGGAGCAGTCCGTGTTGTATGTGGATGCGATTGTTGTGTTTCTACTATCAGGGTTATGCCGACAATCTCTGTATAAATGATATCTGTAAAGCTATCAGCACGATCATTGCATCGTAGAGGATTTACACCTGTTGTGTAGTCTTTCAGCTGCTCAGAAGTGCAGTTTTATTTCGTACCTCTAAGACGTTGTTGCCGGGACCGAAATCTGAACGACAGAATTGAATTGCTGTCAGCGAACAGCATCTTGACTGTATGCAACAAGTTGACAGCCACACCCTTTGCTTTGTAGGTACACGGCAGCAACTGCACACAGTAGCACATTGTGCACAGTAGAAGGAAAGGATTAAAACAGTTTTAATTGTGGCCTGGCCGCCAATCGGATCCGGAAACTGGATCCATGTGTCCATGACAGCCCCCGGGTCATTCGTCATGATATCATGGGTCTCGTCTAGCTAGATGGATGAGGAACGCCTGAAAAAGAAGAGCGAAAAAACAAGTCTACAATGTTCATCGTGGCTTTGTTCAAAGGTTTGCGCCTTGGTAGCCTTTGAGGGTATCACATGAGAGGTAATTGTTTTCGATGAAGGGGGTTGCGATTTGGAAGCCGAAAACCTCCTTGAAAGATGTTGCATCGGGAAAGGGGCCGACATTTGCCTCGATCTTTGCCTTGACAGGGGACGGGGCAAAGGCACCCTTCGACAGTGGCGTGTCAAAGAGACGAATCATCTGGTCGCACTGTTTTCCGTTGACGAAGATGGGCTGATTCGTCACATTCTTGAAGAATGATAGTGGATACGGCACTGCCTTGCAGGACGGCAGGCGACTGTACTCGAGCGACATATAGGTTGAGTTGCTCGTAGCCTTGAAGAAGGTGCTGCCTCCCGAAAGAGTCGCATAGGCATCGCACTGGGGCGCAAATGTCGAGGGGTGGACGACGGTGCCGTAGGCTTCCGAGCCGTCGATGGCGCCTTTGTTGGATGCCGTGATCATTTGTTCAGGAGCCCAGCGGAAGACAGAGTAGCCGTCGCCCAGCAAGTCCAGAAAGGGAAACTCGAAACCGGATCTCTGGAGGCATGTCAGGAGGTTTTATCGTAGCAAGGACATAGAAACTCACGCTGAAATCAGGGATGGTGAACTCCAAGTAACGAATGTCATGGTCGTGGCCGGCCTGGAGCAGCACAGGGTACATGTCGGCCGGGAAGCTAGGCAGCAGAGACCGATATGCACTCTCAAGGATAGTATACTGCGCCGGAATGATCTGTCGGGCCGTGGCCAGAGGAATAGGGATGATGGCCAACGTCATGTTCAGCACGCCAGTGGCGTTGTTCGGATAATCCTGGAAGATGGGGTTTGGCTGGTCGTGGGTCACACAGGTGTCTTCTGCCGTGGCGGCGGCGGTTGGCCGTAGATGCAGGCTCAAAAAGGCGATGATGGCCACGAGGGAGACCTGCCAGAAGAAGGTATGCCCAGGTCTCGCAACCCAAGGGGCACCGAAGGCGGGCGACATTGGAGAGCTCGGTGAGAGCCTAGTGCGGGCGTTTGGCGACATGGCGGCGAGAGAGGCGAGAATCAAGGTCGCACGGCAGCGTCAATGGCGATGCTGTCGAGGATGGCGGATGGAGGTATGAGATGCTGGGCAAGGCTATGCGGGATGACAACAAGGAAGAGCAGCCTGAGACATCGAAAGCAGACGAGAGCAGGGCATCGAAGGCAAAGAAGACGAAGACGAGAAGGTGTCTGCTAGGGTCGTCGACTCTGAACTAGACAGAGGAAGGCAGAGAGAGGGGAGGCAACGGCGAGGTGAAGAAGGAGGGGAAGCGTCTTTCTTTCTCGGCGATGAAGCACGCAGCGGCCGGCGACCGACGACGGGAAGAGGTAAGCCGTTGATGATATATCAACACAGGTGAGAAACAGGTTCAGAATCGGAGGAGAAACAAACAAGCCGTGTTTCTTCGAGTCATCTGGAACAACGGCAGGGGATTGGCCCGAGTTGATGGGCCGGGCTGGGATGGGACGGGATGGACGGGGGAACTGAGTGTGAGATGGGATAAGTTGGGGACCGGCTTGCCCATTCATTCATTTGAACGATCATGCGTGCGCCCATCCATACCACCGCGCGCCGCTCATCCTTCCGCCATTCGTGGAAGCGTGGAAACATGGAAGCCTGGTAGCGGAAGGTTTGGCGATGGTCACCCAGTCGGAGGGAACACAAACTCTAAGCGAGTGATCAGCTCGCTCAGTCCAGGGATGCAGGTCCAGCACATGGCCCCGACAGGGTCAGCATGACCCCCCAAGGTCACTCTAGCATTCACGTGTAGGTGTGTGTGTGTGTGTGTGTACATGTATGTGCGCGCGCAGTGCCAGACAAATGAGAAGGAACGGATGGATGAACATGGTGGTTCTTCTGGCGCAGTGCTGGCTTCGGATGACAGGCGTTCCGGGCTGCGACGTGAGCGATGACCGCCCACCGCCGTCCCGGATGGCGGACGAGCCGGCAACAGATGTGGGTGCTGGCGTGGTTTAGGCATACTAGCCGTGATGAGCGAACCGAACCAGATGCTTAGGGCGGCACGACGCCTACCTGCTTGGGGTATCGCGACTGAGACCACGGACTTGATCAACAGCGTTCGCGCAGCCAATATTGAGATTCATTGGAGGCTGGTTGATTGGAGTCGAGAAGCATTCCACGCCATCCTGACGACGATCAACGGATGGATTCGGGATGATGCTGGTATTGCTTTGCTGTGTCTCGGTCTGGTGGAGTCGGTGTTTTGCGTGTCCCGCGTTAATTCATTTATTGATAATTATCTATCAAGGTATCCTTGTATCTGGCTTATCGGGTTCCACGGTACATGGGCCCGCATGGCCGAATCGCCAAGGTCATGACAGCCTCACCGAGCTGTAATTTCCTGGAGATGAAGGTTCCCATCAACAGGTGTTCCAGCACATCAGCAGGTGTTCCGGTTAGCATCAAGCCCTGATTCCCTTCTTTCTTTTTGTTTCGCATCGCATCAACGACCAAAGGCCTGGTCTTGCGCTGCCCTGCCACCGACAGAAACTACGCACACTGCTCCCTTCAAGTCTGTGCGCTATTGCCCCGGATCCGCCCTTTCCGACTGGCTTTATCTGATCTCGAGCTCGAGAATTACCAATCTGTCCACCCCAGGTCAGGCTCGCTTCAGGGGCGGTGAGCGTAATCCACTCGACACTCGGCCACCCGTTCTCCGGTCTCACACAGAGTACAGGGAAACAAGTTCATCTGCTCTTTTCGCCGTGCAGGTCGTCTATTCGTGGCCCTCCATTGACAGCCCGATTTCGACACATCCCCCCCCCTCTAAGCTCTTGCTGGTGTGCCCAATCTAGAAAGGCTCCGACCTTCCTCGCCCCAACATCCCAAGACAGGCCGGCCATCCCACACGCAGCATGGCCGAGAAACAGCCGCAGGCCCCGGGCGTGCTCAAGACGCCCCTGTTGGCGCCAGCCCCGGGAGTTGTCCCTCCCGCGCGCCAGCCCCTGACGGCCGAGCAGCAGACCAAATACGACGCCCTGCTGGCCGAGGCCCGCGCCTGGACGGATATCACTCCGGCCCCGCCCTCCACCGAACGCCCGGCCGGTCCACTGACCGACGCCGAGCGGCAGTGGCTCACGCGCGAGTGTCTCCTTCGCTACCTGCGCGCGACCAAGTGGAACCAGCTCGAGGCCGCCCGCCGTCTGCGCGACACGCTCGCCTGGCGCCGCGGCTACGGCGTCGGCCCCAACGAAGTCCTGACGCCGGACCACATCTCGCCCGAGTCCGAAACGGGCAAGCAAATCCTGCTGGGCTTCGACAAGGATGCGAGGCCGTGCCAGTACCTCAACCCGGGCCGGCAGAACACCGAGCCCTCACCGCGCCAGGTCCAGCATCTCGTCTTCATGGTCGAGCGCGTCATCGAGCTCATGCCCGCCGGCCAGGAGACGCTCGCCCTGCTCATCAACTTCAAGACGAGCAAGAGCCGTTCCAACACGGCGCCTGGCATTGGTCAGGGCCGCGAGGTGCTCAATATTCTGCAGACCCACTACCCCGAGCGTCTCGGCAAGGCTCTCATTATCAATGGTATTTTCTCTCTCTCTCTCTCTCTCTCTCTCTCTCTCTCTCTGTGTGTGTGTGTGTGTGTGTCTGTTCATGCTGACCTCCATGCAGTGCCCTGGGTGGTCTGGGGCTTCTTCAAGCTCATCACGCCCTTCATCGACCCCTTGACGCGCGAGAAGCTCAAGTTCAACGAGGACATGAAGCAGTATGTCCCGCGCGAGCAGCTGTGGACCGAATTCAGCGAGGGCGACCTCCAGTTCGACTACGACCACGCTGAGTACTGGCCCGCCCTAATGAAGCTGTGCCAGGAGAAGCGCGACGCCAAGCGGGAGCGCTGGATCGCTGGCGGCAAGCTCATCGGCGAGCACGAGGACTACCTTGCGGGTGGCGAGGACAAGGGGCTTGCTGCTTCCTCCGCCGTTCCTGCCGCCCCTGCTGCTGCAGGAGAGGCTGTCACGAAGCCTGATGCGCCGCCGGCCGTCGCGCCGGAGGCTGTCGCTCCTGCGAGTTAGAGTGATGGGAAGACGAAGAAGGGGCCAGAAATTACAAGTTAGACATATATAGCGTTAGAGTTTCTCGAATATGGCTTAGGTTGAATTAAGAATTGAGTGTCTTATGGAGTATTCGCCCAAGCCAGATACCATTCACATTAGTCAATTGCCATTATCAGTCCTGCGACGGTCCCA